TCATTCTTTCTGTAGCAAATTATCTCATCTTCTTGAATAAAGCATCATTTTCATCCAAAATCGACTTCTTGGACTATTCCGTACATGTGAAGCGGTTATGATTGTAGAATAACTTGCAGCCAAAATAAATGCATATAGAATCATTTGTACATTTTGTTGACCGTATACCTATGTTTTTGCCTAAAATTATTTTTTACAATTTCCTAATGAATTCCATAATTTTAAAATTTCTTGCTCATACATTTAAACTTATAATAATTTTTTCTGTCACAGTGAATTCAGAAAGTTTTTTTTTTTCATACATACACATAGTCAACACATATTTTTTTGTACAAACATTGGATTTAGACGGAGTAGGTGTCGCATCGCTAAAGGTCACTACCCTTTCCTTTATTTTAGTTTATTCATGCCTTTATTTAAAAATCTATTCTAATTATTTAAAGTTAAGACTTAGACCCCATGGTTATAAAATAAATCATCAAAAAGATTGCGTGTAATGTCCTTGTCAGCTGTCAACTGAAGAATGATGTCAAAGCCGCCATATTTAAGAGTACAAATAAAATCGAGCTGGGTAGGATACGTGGCACGACAAAATAACGAAAGATGCACGAAAAATATTGTACATTGGAAACCACCCGAACACAATCGTAGTACAGGTAGACCACAAACAAGGTGACTACATGACATCAAATCAAAAGTGGGGAGAGAAACTGGCACCAAATAGCATAAAACAGAGAAGAGTGGGAAACTCATGGGGAGGCCATTGTCCAGGACTCTAACCAGGACAGCCTATACAAATAGGCTGAAGAAGAAGAGATGAAAATATACGGTTACATCATATCAAATTCAGTTTATAGGTGATATATCGAAGACATTTTTAAATTTAGAGTGAAAAGGTAGAAATTGAAAAAAAAAAAACAACTGAACCTAAAGAGAAACAGAAGCAAAATAATCATTGTCGAATAGATAAGGCAAAAAAACAAGAACATATATTACAAATAACAATAATAAGATTTAGTAGCAGTATAGCTAAAGAGAATAAAAATAAACAAAAAGGAAAACCCTGAATAACCAAAATAATATCAAGGAACACAGCAAAGAGGAACATGGTGAAAGCAAAAACTAACAGCTGAAAAACACTAAACGGCTAAATAGATGAATAAAATAATGAAAATGGCCCCTGGGTAAAACATAACAATTTTTACAAATAATGCTGTTTTACGTATAAAAAATATGGGGAAATTTTATTTAAATAATCAAGAAGTTCTAAAAGCGTATAACATGTTGCCAAAAATTAACAATACAGAACTGATCAACGTTATTACTATGAGCGGTTTTAAATGTCTTGATTTTTTATTTTTATGAATCGAGGGGCCTACCTAAGCATTCAGGTTGGCAGATATGTACTAAAGGGAAGCAACACCTACACCGCGGTTGTTCTAAAAAGGCTGTATATCCGGTAATATTATACAATAACCTAGACCGCTTTTTCTCGAATCATTTTGCCAAATATTCAAAGAACGAGTTAACACAACAAAACTCTTTTGATTACTGGAAAATAAACAATCTATTCAAAAAACAACACAAATGTCAGTCTGTTCCAACTGTATAGTTATCCGTCATATATTTATATCTGTAAAATGTAATATTATAAAAAGTTTCATATCTGTAACCATTAAGTTTATTGTAATTACTATAAAAATACTGAAAAACCGGGATCTCACGAGATCAAAAATATATCTGTTGAACAAAATACTGTAGCTATATATAATCTGTATACTGTACAAACTGTTCATAAGTTCATAAAAAATCACAAGTATCTCAGTTGAAAGTAATGTCATATTGTTGGCCTTGGTAAAACATTCATGGAAACAATTAATGTAATTATGTCAAGATTTTGACTCCAAAATAGAGTTTATGACACATTCAACACTCCTTTAGCGCAAAATTTACAAACATGAACCTGAAGATGGCAAGTACTGTTGATATCGTTGCTGACAATTAGGAATATTGTCAGAATAGATTTTCTGATCTTTTTTCAATCTTTTCTTTAACCCTTAGGATCCAGTATTCAACGCATTTTTACACTTTATAGATTTCGAAATCTATGACAATGTGCTTTGTTTTGCTTCCGACTTGAGAATGTCCACGATCTAAAACATATTGGAACTTTCAGCAAAATTATTTGAAAACTGAACGTCATATATAACGCCACAGTACAGGCAAACCAAATTACATTTTATAACAACTTTCAATCCTATGTTGTATTTGACATGTTGACAAAATGACCAACATGAAACTGAGGATGGTAAATACTGCTGATATCATTGATAACAATGAATAATATTTTCAGACTGCGTTGTCTCTTTTTAATCTTTTTATTTAATACTAAGGATCCAGTTGAACCGGAAATTGTATCAAAAGTGATTTAAATTTTGTGGATTTTGATGTTCAAAACTTCATTACTTCTTTGGTCTACCCTGTTAATCACGCTGGTGATTGATGCGTGTACCATCACACTACAACGCAACACTTTCAAAGAATCAGACACTATTGTAGAATTACAAATGGAGGCAAAAATAACGCAATAATACAAGTTTTGCTTATCCAAAAATCTTATTCAGTACTCAGATCAAATTTAAAAATTATTAAGACAGTATGTGCCATCTCAAGTCATGTTCTTGCACACAATATAGATGGAGAAATCAATCTGACATTAAGCTTATTAATTTTTGTAAAATGCCTTACCGAAGCTGCACAATAGGGAGGAATAAACAAAAAACCTTTGTATATAGAATATCGAGTATATATTTGGTAAAAAATCTGTATATCTGAGGAACTGTGTAAAGTGGTATCAATAAAAGAAAAAGTTGTAGTTTAAAAATACCTATGTTGGAACGTTGGCAATATGATATATCAGTCTTATAATACGACAAATTTCGAGTGAAGATATCTTTCTTTCTTGAAAAGGAATTTTATATACATTTCATCTCGAAATTTGAAAAACTCTCTTTCGTTTAATACCGGAAATTTGGAAGATGTTTCTACAAAAACCACCGAATTTTCAACGGTTTATAAAGACGATTAATTGCACAAACTGTGTTTTTTCTTCAATAAATTAACTGCTAATGGAATGAAATTGCAACTACATTATTTGCGCCTTGGTTAGCTTCGTTTGGGTTAAGATTCGTAAAGATTTAGTTGGGTTATGTTAGGTTATGTTCAGTAAAACTTTATCTGGAGTTTTAAAAAACTTATTGAAAAGGAAATTTATCAATAAAATAACCAAAAATACAATTTTATCAATGACTGGTTTTGTTATTATAATCTAAAAGTTATATTAAATGCGGTATTTTAATTTATGTAAGCACAAACACGCATAACATTATTAATATGTTTTTGTAGTTTGTACTTGCGTCCTATATGAATATACTTTGAAAGAGTTAAAAAAACTTACAATAGAAAAATAAAAATGATGAGATATCCAGCAGGAAATTAATTAGCAGGTTCTATGACAGTTGAAAATCATTAAAAGTTGTCCTGAAGTGTTTTAGGAGTTACAGAAATCTTTTATTTTTCAAAATTTCAGCATTATGTATCAGTTTTTAATTATTTATAACCCCATTTCTCAAATTTTCACATTTTTTAAATGAATTGTACATGTAGGTTCAGTTTTAAAATCGTCGCATTGGTAAGTTTTTGTAGAAACAATTCCCTTTAGAAAATTAGGAAGCACGCGCTTAGTCTAATCAATAAACATCAACCAACAATGCCACAAAGCAACTGTTTGTGGTTCACAAAAACAAAATTATTTCAATAATCTGTAACAGAACGGTCCCTCTTGCAGACCCATTTTAATGTCATACTCTTTTTACAAACTTCTACCCAATACATATTTTCTAATATTGCCCCTATTATTTTATAACTTATAACAAGCCGATCTAATGGGTCAGTATTCGTATTATAGTTTAGTATGCGATTTTCCCGCTGAATGCGTACTACGCCAGCAAACATGTGTCAAAATTTGTGTTGGCACCACTGTATATCTTTGACTCAATGCAAGAATAGAAAATAACTGTTAGAAATTTTAAAAATAATTAAAAAATAAGATTATTTTGTATATTTATTGTGTTTACGTGAATTTTTATGTATTTTTTATAGAAAAAAACGTCAAATAAAATTTCAAGTAAAACAATTACAATGAAATGGTAGGGTTATGACACAAAATTGATGACGTATGACGGATTTTGCCGGAAAAAGAATGTGTTAATAAAATAATATCGATATATTATCTTTCGGACGGTAACAAGTTATGGAGGACATAGGGATCTGTAGTTGTAAAAAAAAGTTTATAATAGACAAATTCACTGTTTTAGATTGAGACATTTATTCATTTTATTAAAAAAAGAGTAGGTATATTGTTTTATATGTCACTGCAGTTATGTATTGTCGTAATATTAATAACGAATTGATGGCAACATTCTAAAAATCAAATATTAATCACTACATAAAGGAAGTGACGTTATAATTGACATTTGTGAGTAATGAAGATATGATTAGGCTAGGGATAAGTTGATCTGAAGAGTGTAGTAGGATAAAATTGGGTAAAACTACTTTAAATAGAGCAATAAAAAATATATGAAATTGATCGATTTGAGAAATGTCTTGAATACGCTAAAAAATTGTTACAAATAAAATACTTAATTGTATTAAAATACAAGACAGAGATAAAAATATGCCACCGCTCAAGAAATGAGTTAAATAAAAAGTAAAAATAATTTAAAACAATATTATTAAATACGAAGAACTGCAATAAAAGTAATTCAAACAAATTATTAGTTATACGTCGATCTAAAGTACAGTGAAATTGTAGGTATATGTTATACGTAATAATTAGTAACATATCCTGATAAAACTCTAATAATAGCTATACCATTAGATCGACTTATCATACAGTTGTCGATTTCTTGGACGATAAATCTTTGCACAATAAATCAGACTTAATCTTGCCCATTCTGTTGTACTAGTTCGCGTCTATCCTCGACAGATAGCGCCGGTGGTCGGAATAAATCGGGCTGCATCTCGTCACTCACGTCTTTCGCCCGCTCTTTACTATCGTCCTCCATTTGTTGCTGCTGTGAAAACTGCTCCCTACTCTTTTCGCTTTGAGGCAGCAAATGGATCATGCTCACTGGTATGGGAAACGCGGACCCGAAGTCTGGGTAAAAGCTGTGAGTGAAAGGGTTGAACATCGAGTGCTGGGGGTGTTGGTCTTCCGTGCTCGATGGCCTCGTATTGGGCTGGATCGGTTCAGGCTCTCTCTCAGGCTTGCAAGGATTGTTGGTGTTGGTGTTGCTTCCAAGGTTGAGGATGTCCATGGCAGCATTTGGACCCCCGATGCAGTCTTTTCGCAGTTGCTCAAGTTTAAGGCTTTTTCCTAAAATACCAAAAAAACAGTTAACATAGAAAATTACATAAATAGATAATTAAAGTTAAGTTAACGTTAAAGTTAACCTTAAAAGAAATTTGTCACAGAAGTGGATATCAGAAATAATCTGTTTAAAACTCATCTATTATTTTATTATATACTCAGTGACATTAGAAGTTTTACACCCAGAAGGAATAATTTCTTGAACTTTTGGCAACAGAATGACTATATTTCAAACATGCCATTATAACAATACCAATGTTTTATTTTTTCTTTTTGTGAAAATAAAGTTTTATCTTTAAATTTTTTGTGAAGAGACCGATTTGTGAAAACCGATTCGTATAGAAATTTTTGTTATTATTCCTCAGTCTAATTGTATTCCATGTAAGACAATGCCTCGAGTTTGAAGACACCAAAATTACCACCATGTTAGCGATTTTGGCAAGGGTAGAATTATTGCGTATGGAGATATGGGTTTGCCGTATGACGGTTATGCGTGTCTGTCGTGTGTGGAAAAACAAAGGTAGAGGAACGCAAAGAAGACCAACTTGTCAACCGAGGCGTACTACAGCGTGAGCTTAGATTATTGGCTCTGTGGGACCGTTTTGCTACTATGCGTCAAACTGCTGACCAATGATTTGAAATAGTAGATAGACCTGTTAGTATGAGTACACTACAACATCGCATTCGAGCCATTGGACTGGTATTATTGCGCCTACGACTAGTGCTTCCTTTGACTGCGGACCACTGTCATTAACATTTGAATTGGTGCAAAGAATGGCAGCATTGGGTGTCAGAATAGCGTAATGTAGTATTTCGCGATGAATCACGATTCTGTTTAAGAATACATGCTGGTCGTAGGATGGTAAGACGCCTCCGTGGAGAATGACGAGATATTGAATTTGCTGTTGAGAGGCATATACACAGTACAGTTAGAGTAATGGTTTGGGGGGCTATTGCCTATGGTAGCCAATCACCACTTGTGTTTTTTTGAGGCAACATGACAGCTGCGCGTTATGTTGATGACATCTTACAAACCACTTTATTGCCTTATCTCGACGGCCGTCGAGACGTCCTATTCAGCAAGACAACATATTGCTCGTCAAAGTATGAACTTTCTCCAAGAATCTGGCGTTAATGTTTTGCCGTGACCGCCCCGTGCTCCGGATTTAAATCCTATCGAACATGTATGGGATTTGATGGGAAGGACACGTCCACTTTGCACCATCCTCCATTGACTCTAGAATACTTGAAGTTCAAGTTGCTTTTAACGAAGTGCCAGAAGCAGACATCGATGATCTCATTTTGAAAATGCCTAGACGTATACAGGAGTGTATTCAGCTACGGCGTCGCCAAAAAATGTTTTTTTTATTACTTGTTAACAAAAATTCTTGACAACTTTATCGTTTTATTCTTGATTTAAATCTACCATGTTGACAAAAAATTAAGTAATAAGCAATTATTACTTCTGGGTGTAACAGTTCCAATATCACTGAGTATATTTCAAAATTATTATAGGATCTGATTGAAAATTATTAATAATACCCTGATAGTGACGAAGGATTTCAAAATTATTTTAAATTTTTCTTGAAAGGATAATTAGATCAGATCTAGCTAGACATTCTAAATATTCTTTAATATTATTACATCTTTAACACTTGCTTAAGATTTATACTATGGCAGTTGGAAGGCTGATTTCACTTTGTGCAGAAGGATTTGATATACTAGGATAAAAGAATGTTCTGATTTTTATATTTTAATAACAATATTTTTTCCATCACAAATTTCCAGAACTATGTTGGCAATTTAATACCCATTGTAATTATATGTTTATGTATTTTTAAGAATCAGTTTTTAAATACTCTTTACATTCTCCTAAAATTTTTTTGTTAGACAGAGATTATTTTATTCATTTTCCTAATTGGTCTTTTCAAATTTGTGTGATTTTTTTGTCTAGTTTTAGTGTCCTTATTTTCTTGCTTTAACTCCATATTTGTACATATCTACAACTGCTTCTGTGTTATGTCTAGAATACGCGTGTTCTTGTAGAATTCATATTTCGAAGGATTTGATTTTTCTTATATCTATTTTTTTGATAGTCTATGTTTCAGCAGCGTATATAGCAATGGGAAAATTAGGACATTGAACCAATATGAGCTTAGTATTCTTTGTTATTGTACTTAGTACTCTTTCCACATTTTAATTAATTTAGCTATTATGGTTCGAGCAACTTGCATTGCTAGTCTACGCTTGATTTATAAGGAGCTGTCGCAATTGTTGGTCGTGAGGACGCGCAAGTATACAGATTTGTCTACGAATTCAAAACTCGCTACTTGATCTATGAAAATGAGATTATTATTTGCCCTGCCTACAATCATTATTTTTGTTTTTCCAGTGTTGATTTGAAGTTCGAATTCTTTGCTTATGTGTGTCATAATATGCGTATTGCAGCTTACTGAGCTTTTTTGGCTTCTAGTGATTCCTCCATCTAACTTGTCTAGTACTTTTCTCATTATATATTCGAAATATATGCTGTATAATGTACTGTAATCTAACTTTGCAGAGTTTAAAAATCATACAAATTTCTCATTAGGTAAACTAGGTGGCTAGACATTTCCATATTTCCTATTAAACTGTATAGTATATTGAATTACTGTATAATCTACGAAACAGAGCAATATTGGTATATTGTGTTACCATTCTGTTTCTACTATCTGTCTGTTCAATATTTTCTCTTGCGTTTCTTTACCTGGTACGAATCCGCATTGTTCTTCGGCTATCTCTGGAAGTAGAGAGTTCTTAGCCGTTCATTGATTATGTATACATTTTTTGCTTAAATGAGGAATTAGAACAAGAACAAATTTAGAGTATGTAATCCACCACTGGGATTTTTTGTTTCTTAGCTGCTTGAGAGCCTTCTATACATCTTTTGAAGTATATTTGTATAATTCTAATTTTGCCACGTTTCAACAATGAACTCTCGGGCCAAATATTTAACTTTTTGAGTGATGCATGATTTTCATGGCGGTTTAGATTTTGCTTCAGTTCTTAACAGACGTTATTTATATGCTTATTTTTAACTCTTATGCACATATATTTTATTTCCCTGCTTAGTTCCGCTATTTTTTGAGTGCTGTGTCCTGTTTTTGTGGTATATTGTAGCATAAGTGTTCTTTCTTTTAGTCATTCTAAGATTTTCATCCTTCCTCTTCTATGGAATTCTTCCGTATTATTTACCCTTAGCTGTTTTGTTTGATGTATTTTTCTTGTTGTGTGGAGTTTAGGCCTCCAGTTTATTTTTAGGAGTTCATAATCTGATTCACAGTATGTCCCAGGCATAAGTTTTACGTTTATTTTTGAGGTTTTCCATCTTTTCTGCAAGAGTATGTAATCACTATTTAAATGGGAATAAGCCACAATTAGACAATTGATACATTAAAAACATTGTATTTTGAGAACGATTTCCGAAGTGGAAATTGAAACGTACTTACCTCTAATTGTGGCTTATTCCCATTTAAATAGTAATTACTTTAAAATGCCACAAGAAAATAGCTTTAGAACAATATTGAGTATGTAATCGTTTTGATTGTTGTGTTTTTTTAATAGTCACGTTGATGGCTTTCTTGGATGTTTATAAAGTGTATTTATTAATACTCCTATATATATATATATATATATATATATATATATATATATATATATATATATGCCAGTTGTTTGTGATCGGCAAGTAAAGTAAAAATTCCAAAGACTCGTGAGGTTGTGGTAACTATTCCAATCTCAACATTCAGCTTTATTTGTATCATGAACAGTTAGTAAATAGGTACTTTTTGCAAATAGAATGTCATAAAACTAATTATAATATATTTAAGTTGTCTTGATAAAGAAACTAAACAGTGTCGAAAGCTCGACATGTATATATTATATAAATAATATAAACAATGTACCTACCATATTTTCCCCTAACGTACATTAGGAGGGAATTATAAGGAATCCCGAATATCCTGGATGCTTGACTGGTCGTCATTTTCTTATTCCAAACGTGCTGAAGGGCTTCCGTTAACTCTGCGTTGGTCCAGGACCGAGGTGGGCCACCTCTGGGTGCCGAATGTTGGCCTTTTGGCCTCCCCACTGTAATCAAACAACCGTATTAATTGATATCTTGCTTTGAATAATTTCTAATTAATAAGTAAATAAACATTAAAAGTCGTATATAAATATAAAATGTTAATAAAAAGAATATTGAAACTACAAAAAAATCTATCCACATTAATATTGTTTGCTCATAAATATACTAAGAGATTTCTCTTAGTACAGAAGAGAGTTGGTGTGAAATTCAATATTAAAACCTAAATTACAAAATCTAGTTTGTGAAATATTTGATTACTCACTTTTCTTTTTAACGAACATTTGGGAATCAGGTGTCGTCCTCGGATCTGGCATGTCAAATAAAGGATTCCTACATCCCTCAAGTCCTGGGGGAAATAGTCCGAGGGGAGAATCCAGACCAAAAACTAAAATTATGAAAACATGGTGAATATGAAATTCGTACTTGTCTAGTACATATAAAAGCTGTTCATTATAAAATTATTTTTTAATATTTAACTGCAATAGAACTTTATTTTTATATAATTATGTTTTTATTCAAATAATGCTAGATCCCTAGCAACAAAAGAAAGAACCATAGAGATGGAAGCAGAAATGTCTAAAATTAAATGGGATGTGATAGGCGTCAGCAAGGTAAAACAGCAGGGAAAATGTCGGAAAAACTGAAATCGGATCACTTGTTTTATTAGGTCGATAGTGAAACTGAAACAACAGGGGCATTGGCTTTTTCGTTACACATTACACATAAAACATGAAAACAGTATCATACCAGTCAAAGAGTCTCTCTACTAGAGTATAGACGTTTTCATCTTTCTTGGCGTATGCGTGTAAAAACACTTGCAATCAGTTGTTTCATCTGTCTTTCCTTGTCTAAGCTCGATTTGTTTACCTCCTCCAGTGGCAGCTATCTATATTCGTAAAGAGGCCGAACTGATCACCGACACCGTATCGGCCAAACGCATCGGTGTTATTGCTACAATACTGGGAGACGTGAGTGGTCTCTTCATTCCCTTCTCATCGCACTTTACCACGACAAACGTGACTCGCACAATTGAATAACGCATCTGTGTATCAGAGAGAGACGAATATTAAAAATTCCGTAGTAGCTTATTTTAGGCACACGCCAAGAATGATGAAACCGAGTTTAGCTTCTTTAACAAAGTAAAGGAAACTAAAAGTTTAAAAAACGTAAAACAAAGTATATGACCCAACAAGTGGCCAAGCATACTGTGACATAGAAGTATTCTACGATGACGTTTTATTTTAGCCCTAAACAATTTAGCACTCATTACCGTAATATGGTGTGATGAACGTGGCAGAGTCCGAATGGAAAAACTAGGAACGAGATTTATTTTATGATCACTAACAAGAGGTAAATCTTTAAAGATATTACAGTCCTGAACTAGTTTTCAACAGTTAGCGACCACAAAATGGTGAAAGCGTAGAAAGAAATGGATCTTGGGAAAGACAGATACCTATATATGCGCCGTTTCTCGCAACCTAGCTTCCAACGCTTGCGATCGTTCCAGTCATCTACTTGTAGACCCCTATCTTCCATTGCACCTTTTACTTCTTGTCTCCACGATCTTCTTGGTCTTCCCTTTTTCCTGCGGTTGGTGGGGTCCACTGTAACATTCTCTTTGGCCATCGTTGATCATTCTACATGGCCATACCATTTCAGCCTTTTGCATTTTATAGTCTCCAGGATGTCAATGTCTATGCCCATACGCTCTCTGATTTCAGTATTCCTTACTTTATCTCTTCTAGTGAGTTGGCAACATCTTCTCCAATAATTCATTTCCATTGCTTTTATTTTGGATGCGTCATTTTTATTTGTTACCCAAAGCTCTGAACCATATGTAGCAATGCTTTCTATGATACTTTTGTATATCCTAATTTTTGTGTTTCGGGTGATGTGGTTATTCCAAAGTATACTATTCCGTTGACGTATTGCTAAATTTCCTTGACTAATTCTAGTAGCTATTTCTTTTGTATTCCGACCATTGTTTGCAATGTTTGCATTGTTAATTACTATTTATAACTGGGAATAAGCCACATTAAAGATAAAAATACATTTATTGACGTTTCAATTTCCAATTCGGAAATCGTTCTCAAAATACAAATAGTAAATTAAACAAATTTTGTTTTTTGTTACATAGTGAAAAAATTCTTCTGATAATTTAATTTTATCTGACTCATTTATATTGACAATTCAGACATACATTATGCATTTTAAAGTAGACGACTTTAAAATGATATTGCCAATATTGTTGAGTTGCGCTCCTGGGACGACTTTACTTATAAGATAGTTCATTCGATTACATGAAATCAACTTTAACTTGAGAATATCCGTCAGCAAAAATCATAGCATGTAATTCGTCTTTAAAAAGACAAACACATGACATGATGACAGTAAAATTCTCCTGTTAGTGATTCCATAGTAAATTATGAGGGAAAAACCAGGAAAAAAACCTCATAATACTATCCCGACATTGTAAGTATTTGTTCGTGAATTTAGTTTACCTTCAACAAACATCAAAATTCTGATTTTATGTTACGTTATTTAAAAAACATAAATGATGTATCCTCTATATGTTACTGACTTACTAATACTGGTATTTTCTTATTAATAACTTCCTCTTTCAATATTGGTAACCAGATCCTACTACATTCTGCCGAGGAATTGGCGACACAATTGGCCTCATTTAGTATAATTAGAGCCGCTTCTTTGATTTTTCTTTTTTTTACCATCCGTTTCTTTTAGGACTATATTTGAATTATTCCATTGAACTCTATGTTCATTATCCCATGCGTGTTTACATATTTGAGATCTATCAAATTCTCTATTTTTAATATAAGATTGATGTTCACTTATTCTAACATTTAATGGCCTTGATGATTCACCTAAATAAAACTGATCGCATTCACAAGGTATTTTATAAATGCAATTCTTTGTCCTTTCTTGTTCATTGTTAGGTTTGGTTTTGGACAAAATAGATCTCAACGTGTTTGTTGTTTTGAATGTTGTTGAAATGTTGAATTTATTTCCTATCCTTTTAAGTTTTTCTGATAATCCTTTTATGTACGGTATTGTTATTTTCCTCATACTATTCCTTGTGTATGCTGTAGGATCTCGTTCTAAGTTGTTCTGTTCTATTCGATCGATTGTTGAAAATTCCTTATTTATAAACGATAAAGCTACCTTTCCTGGATGTTTTGATCTCTAAGAACGATACTGGATATGAGACTCAGGTGTATAGAAAACCAACACACACCAATAGATATTTAAATTTCAAATCAAATCACAATATTAATGTAAAAAAGGGAATAATTAAATCCTTATACGATAGAGCCAAAATTACTTGTTCTAACGAAAATTCGTTCTTAGAGGAGAAACATTTGTTAACATCTGTTTTATTAAAAAATGATTATCCTTTATCGTTTATAAATAAGGAATTTTCAACAATCGATCGAATAGAACAGAACAACTTAGAACGAGATCCTACAGCATACACAAGGAATAGTATGAGGAAAATAACAATACCGTACATAAAAGGATTATCAGAAAAACTTAAAAGGATAGGAAATAAATTCAACATTTCAACAACATTCAAAACAACAAACACGTTGAGATCTATTTTGTCCAAAACCAAACCTAACAATGAACAAGAAAGGACAAAGAATTGCATTTATAAAATACCTTGTGAATGCGATCAGTTTTATTTAGGTGAATCATCAAGGCCATTAAATGTTAGAATAAGTGAACATCAATCTTATATTAAAAATAGAGAATTTGATAGATCTCAAATATGTAAACACGCATGGGATAATGAACATAGAGTTCAATGGAATAATTCAAATATAGTCCTAAAAGAAACGGATGGTAAAAAAAGAAAAATCAAAGAAGCGGCTCTAATTATGCTAAATGAGGCCAATTGTGTCGCCAATTCCTCGGCAGAATGTAGTAGGATCTTCTTACCAATATTGAAAGAGGAAGTTATTAATAAGAAAATACCAGTATTAGTAAGTCAGTAACATATAGAGGATACATCATTTATGTTTTTTAAATAACGTAACATAAAATCAGAATTTTGATGTTTGTTGAAGGTAAACTAAATTCACGAACAAATACTTACAATGTCGGGATAGTATTATGAGGTTTTTTTCCTGGTTTTTCCCTCATAATTTACTATGGAATCACTAACAGGAGAATTTTACTGTCATCATGTCATGTGTTTGTCTTTTTAAAGACGAATTACATGCTATGATTTTTGCTGACGGATATTCTCAAGTTAAAGTTGATTTCATGTAATCGAATGAACTATCTTATAAGTAAAGTCGTCCCAGGAGCGCAACTCAACAATATTGGCAATATCATTTTAAAGTCGTCTACTTTAAAATGCATAATGTATGTCTGAATTGTCAATATAAATGAGTCAGATAAAATTAAATTATCAGAAGAATTTTTTCACTATGTAACAAAAAACAAAATTTGTTTAATTTACTATTTGTATTTTGAGAACGATTTCCGAATTGGAAATTGAAACGTCAATAAATGTATTTTTATCTTTAATGTGGCTTATTCCCAGTTATAAATAGTAATTAGTTTGCATTGTTGTCGTAACATGTAGTGGATATCATCTTGATCTTCTGCAAGTATTACTTGGTCATCAGCAAAATGCAAGCTGTACAGTGTATGGTCTCCAATTTTAAGACCCATAGGTTCACATTTTCTTTTCCAAATATCCAAAACCCCCTCCAAATAAATCTTAAAGAGTGAAATGCAGCAGCCTTGGCGAAGTCTTTTGGTCACTTTTATCTATTTTGTCCCTTTTTGTCCAATCTTTATTACACTCGTCATATCATCGTACAACTTCTTTACAGCATTAATGTAAATCGGTGGAATATTCTTGTCTTCTAGCACCTGCCATAGCTTGGCTAATGGGACACTGTCATACGCTTTTTGAAGATCAATAAATACCATATGTATCTCCATATTATGTCCCAAACGCTTTTCTATTGTTTGTTTTAGGCAGAACACATTGTCTATACAAGAACGACCAGTACGAAAGCCACTCTTCAGCGTCGTCTTCCCAAAAATCTTCAATTCGGCTTTTAATTATCTTCCCGTAGACTCTACAGATTTAGTTAGTTACACTAAGCCCTCGGTAGTTCTTACAATCTTTTCTGTCGCTTTTATTTTTGTATAGATTGCTGATATATGCAGTTTTCCATTCTGGGGGTAGCTCTTCTCTCTCAAGAATAAATTAAAAGTATAAGCCAATAGCTGAAATAGTTTGCCTGAGTCATATTTAATCAAACAGATACCTCATGATCAAAAGAAGTCCACACCTACCTGGACAAAGCCTAATAATTACAGAAGACAGATAAACAGAATTCTCGAAAGACATAAGAATACAGACCCAAATATCTTACACCCTGAATGGCATTATAATAAAAGCTATAGAGAAAATTTGGAAGATACACTACACAAACTCTAACCGACCTCTAAGCCAACTCTACAAGTTATTCACATAATAGCAAATACACTAAAACCCATCGAATACAACCGACCATTAGTCCTGACATACGCAGACTTTCGCAAAGCATTGGATATGATCGAAATGGGAGCAAACAGCGTGAAGTATCATGCAAAAATTAACTGGTTATTTATAAATTTTGTCACAGTAGTTTTTCCGACATGTTTAAGTTGTCACACGCATTGAATTACATATATTTATCATCATAAAATTTTTTTTTTATCGTTTTTATAATTTTTAAGCTATTTAATTAAAGGAATATATCGACGAAACTTTTAAAATGTTCCTATTTGAAGAGTGTTTTGGGAAAATTAGAGGAAAAACGTCCTAGAACCAAAAAAAGTCGCATAAGGAAATCATGTCGGACTCGGCCTAATAAAGCGATACTCCAAGTTTGGAGAGAGTATCATAAATTTTTTGCCGACGGGCGTACTAACTAATATGTGAGATATTATGGGACAAATAAATTGTTGGAAATAAAAAGTGACTATTTGACGGTTATATAACAATTTCTCTTAAAATGATAGGATAAAATCGATCAACTACAACGAAATATTTAATTCATTATAATGTCTTGCTAATTATCCTTACTTTAAGTATAACAAATTAGAAAAAACTCGTTCACTTTGCGGTACTTGAGACTATTTGCATTTCCTAGAATCAGGTAATTATCTAAGACTGAAGACAATTGCAACAGTAGAACTTTTTTGTTGCAGCTCGATTTCTCATCCGATAAATGTGTACCATTTTTTTGCAACATCATTATATATCGTATTCTGTCTTTATTATTACACAACCACCTAAATTAAAATAAACCAGTAATCGTTACTATTCTACTCTTTTAGGATATGTAAGTAGTATAAATAATGGAGCTTGCATTATAGCCGCAAAACCTACTAAACGTAAAAAATGTTGCTATCTGCTTTATTCAATCTACCATTACATATATTTTTTTAAATTTTGCCCTACTAGCGACGTTGATATTTTACATCATAAACTGCTTTTCCTTCCAGCATATATTTGTTAGGTTTTCAGTTCTTTAGTAAGATTCCTCCAATTTATCATACTAACTTTATTTTTTTATTTCAATGAGAATTTTCTCTGTTTTATCCATTGATTTTGGTTAAGCAAATAACGGTTGTCTTAATAGGGCTCTGTATATATTTCTTCTCGATAAACAATCCAGCCTTGTACTATATTTACTGAAGTACCAAATCTTCTTCGTATGGTGCCTATCCGTACGGATGTTGGACACTAACATGGCTATTGTGACTTTGTTGACTGCTGCCCTGAAAAGTCCGGTAGTGGTTAAGTTAAACCACTTTCGCAGGTTATGCAGCCAGGATATTCTTCTCCGTCCTGGACCTCTTTTCCCATGTACTTTACCTTGAAGTATGTTCTGAAGTAGGTCATATCGTTGTTCATTGCTCATTATATGGCCCAGGTATTATAGTTTGCGACGTTTTATGGTTACGACTAGTTTGCGCTCTTTACCCATTCTATGAAGTACTTCTTCATTGGTAATTCTGTCTATCCAGGAAATCCTCAACATGCGTCTATGGCACCACATCTCAAATGCTTCCAGTCTCTTCAGTGATGCTTCAGTTAAGGTCCATGACTCTACGCCGTATAAAAGAATGGAAAATACGTAGCATTTTAGTAAACGAACTTTTATTTTTTTTTTTCGAAAGATTTTTTTCATTTTGACGAAAGCTGATCTTGCCTTCTCGATCCTTATCTTAATTTCCGTCCATTGGTCCCACTGTTCATTTAAGTTTGCACCCAGATAACAAAAGTTGGTAATTGTGTTATAGGTTGTTGGTTAACTAGTAATTGAACAGGTGGTATCCTATTTTTGCTTATAACCATGTAATTGGTTTTTTTGATGTTAAAATCAAGCCCAAACCTGCTACTTACTTCTGCCACCCTGGAGACAAGTGTCTGCAGACCTTCAAGACTGTCTGCAAAAATGACAGTATCATCAGCGTATCTTATGTTGTTCAATCGTTCTCCGTTTATAAGTATTCCCTCGTCTATGTCCGTTAGCGCTAGGTTCATAATGTGCCCTGAATATGTATTAAACAATAATGGGGACAATATACATCCCTGTCGTACACCTCTTTTTATCTTTATATTGTCTGTTAGCTGATCCCCAACTCTAACAGATGCAGTTTGTTCGTAATAGATATTGTTTATTATACGGGGATCTCTGCTGTCTAGACCAATTGGATTTATTATTTTCATATTGAATGCCAAATCTAGGCGTTAGTAAATCTAGGTCAAATTTCCTTTTATGATAAGAAACAATTTAAATCGAACTTTTTGTACAGTTTCTATATACACCTACATTTTTGTTATTCTATTCTCACTAATTAAGTGGCGACATTTATAATCAACTAACAGAAGTTTTGGTTGTCGTTTTATGTTGGAAAGAACTATAAACTATCATGCCATATCTAAGTATATCTCAATACATTTTAATGTATCTCAAATAATCTAAAAATATCTCAAGGTATTTGAATATATCTTAAGGTATTTGAAGATATCTGAAGATATTTAAAGATATCTGAATATATCCGAAGATACCTGAAAATATCTGAAGATATCTTAAGATATTTAAAAATATCTAAAGATATCTAAACTAAAGATTGTTGAAGATCATTCGAAATATTTGAACAAATCTCTTAAAGATATCTCAAAATACATAAAATCTTAAATAGCGTAAGATATCTCAAGATATTATGATGTCTCAACATATTTCAATAAATCCGCCGAAGTTTGAAGATACCTGAAGTGAATACATCTGAAGATAGTTTAAGATACCCAAAGATATTTTATTATATTTTAAAATAACTTAAGACATTATAAATTATTTCAATGTAATTATAATAACATGTGTTTTGATTCATTAATGTATGAACGAAAATTAAACGATATCACATTATATCAATCAATAAATTTTTAAGGATAGTTTGTTGTCTCCAGTTATCGAGTTTTTATTAAGATTTTTACCTATTTAATGGTACACTTGGTAATGAGATACACATTTCCTAAATGAGAATAAATACATTGACTTACATTTACTATGGGGCGGTGTCATGGTCAAGGCAGAAACCGACGGCATGGGCGGAAAGGGTAGCGGTGAGTGACTATCAATTTCTTGCTTGAGACTGAGGATCGGATGCATACTAATGGGAGAAGTTCTAAAGTCCTTGGTGCTGGGCAGGCTCAAGTCCATTTCCGGACTTCCTATACTCATTTCCGGCGTCCTTGATTTCTCTTCTTTGATTTCTCGTTTTTGTTCTTTTACTGAAAAATAAATACTTATGAAGCTAGATAATAAAACTGATGCAGCAACAAATGCAGAAGCATAAAGGATTACAGATGCGGCTAAATACAAAAAAAAATATAAGTGATTAAAGTATGAAAATAAAATGGAAGCCTAACAAACCATATACAGCAAGATAAACCCAGTCTTTCGTGTGGGAACAAGAAAGAGAGAACGAAGAAGATAAAGAAATTAACTAGTACAATACTGGACAATAAGTCAAAGAACATGTATTTAGGGAAAGATAATGACAAGACTATTTTAAATACAAAAAGCCAAATAGATCAGTTTGTTAGGAGTTACTTACTTTGCTTCTTTATACATAAGTTCTCAGCAGTCTCTTCGGCTGGGGACTCAGATTTTGGGGGTGGAATGGACAGGTCTTGAGGGCCACACATCTCTCCTGACCGCCTTCGCGGTCTGGCTTGTTTTCTTCTCGGTATCGGCGACTGACATTCTGGCCTCGGCAGGAGAGTATCTGGAAAGGAAAGACGCGGCATGTGTGGCAGTTTTATTGGGGTTTCGAAGTTGTTTTGCGCTGAAGACGGAGAAAACGGTGAGGTTTGTTCCGAGGGGGTTTTGGGGGCTACCCCTGTATTTGGAAATCTAGAAAAGGAAAAATATCTAGTAATAACAACACAGTTTAATTAATTGATATAATAGAAGTATGATTTGTTTTATAAAAAGGCAATAAATGCCTTACCTGGTATTACTGTAGTAGTTCCGATCAAAATCATTTGGCGAAGCAGACGGAGTTGGTGTCTGATTAATTATCGAAGTACTTTCCTTATCGAACGGGTCCTGGGTGGCTAGACCTCGAACCTGCAGACTCTCGGCAGCCTTGATCAAACTTTGTAACTGTTCTTGGATCACAGATATTTCTCCCTTGTACATAAAATCCACAATAGCCTGTACCTCCCACCCGTTGAAGTCCTTCAAAACGATAACCGGGTGTTTGCAAGGGTTTTCCGAAAATATTCGCTGAAAAAACGGCGAGCAAGCGCTCAGGACGACCTTGTGGGCCCGAACTGACGTTTCCGCACATACCAAAGTGACGTCTACCAAAGTTTCAGCCTGTAACAGAGCCTCGAATGCCGACAGTATGTGGGTCTGATGGTTGTTCCATCGAAGAGAGTAATGGGACTGTGTCATTTTCTTTGGGTCGTCGGTTGACTCTTTCATTGGTGGTGTTATGCGATGGTCATTCTTTTTCTTTTTTTAAATTTTGAATTCCTGAAACAAAAATTTGATTAGTATGAAATTTTGGATTAAATTTCAGTTTGATAAACTATTCAAAATAAAGAATACTATAAAGCTACAAACAAAATATTTTAATCTTGCTTATTACAAAAGAAAACCGTTTTCGAGTGTAGTCATCTATTGGTAACGATTCAGAAACACTGATACATGCAATAATCTTCTAAATATATACGTAGACTAAATGAAGAACAAAAGAAAATCTATTAATTTCATGCATATGAATAGGCAGAAATTTTTACATTGACAACTGGTACAAGAAGCACATGCGAACCATATTATTACTTCACCATTTTAAAACTAATTGTTACCCAACTTATCTGTATCTACGTTTTTATTAAAATATTTCAAATTTTCATATATTCAGAAATCAACGTCTGATATCAAGTAGCGTTAAAAGTTGTTCGAGAAAAAAAATTAGAATATGTATATAAAATTTATAATAGTAGTTATCTTCCAAATGATCAAGAAAGAACCAATCGATGACCCTGAAAGAATAATCTAGACAGGAATAATGTTGACCACCAATGAGATGCAGAAAAGATTTGATTTAATTACTGTTCAAATCTTAAAACAAAGTCAAAACAAGTCTTAGAAAAGTCATGGTACAGCTGACATATCTCAGAAAGGGCTTGTTCAGATTAAGATACGTTCCCAATATATAGAACGTATCAGAGGTCTTAAACCTGGAAAGTAACCTAATACAGTATCGTCGTACAGGCCGATTTCCTTACTACCTGTAATTTCGAAGCTAGAAAAGTAGATATTGCTAAAAAGGCTGAAACCTCTCATAGAAGATAAGCCTCTTATTCCTTACACCAATTTGGTTTTTGAGAAAGTCATTCAACTAATAACCAATTCCACAAAATAACAGATAAAGAGTATCTATTATACGCTAGAAGCCTACTCTACTACAGAAGTCTATTCGGAGTTTAAAGAATTCAGTGCAGGTATACCACAAGGTGATGTAATAGAACCAGTACTGTACCTATTAAGCAACAAGTGATATAATTAATTAAAACACAACAGCTACCTTTGCTGATAATACTGCTGTCTTGGACGTAGGCGAAGATATATCAAGAAGCAACAAGAAAACTACAAACAACTGTAAACTGGACTAAATGCTAGCAAACTAAATTAAATCAAATAAAGTACAAGGATCTGGCTAGAAACTCAAGAGGACACTTCGAGTCAGTTAAGTAAAAAGCAGAATATAGTACAAGAAATGGTACAGGTTAATAGTTGCAACAAATTAACCAAACCCAAGGCATACTACAGAGTTTGCCCTTAGCCTGAAGTTCTTAATAATAAGTACGAATAGTTTTTAGTATAGTTCTCGATGAAGACGAAGATATTATAGTGCAAACAGAGTTCAGACTCAAAATAGCCCGGTAAAAACTCAAATTTATGCAGAGGGTAACTTGGTCTTACAAAAGGATCTTTTGCATTTCTAACAGAGCTGTGTTCCCTTTTAATAATCACTTCTTTTCCAAGAGTGATTAAAGGGCCGATATATTTCTTTTTTTGCCATGAACTTAAGAATTACATCATTTATATAAAAAAAAACAATCAAATCTGTTTGACCATTAACTAGCTCAGTGCTTAAATCTATAAAGGTAATAGGTACATATTATTGCTTTTATAAAACCGTCTTTTCATTTTATATTGTTTTTCACTGGATTTTTTGCAGCCGTTTCAGTCTAAGGCCTTCTATTATCGGGATCATAACAAACAGTCAACTGGTTTTTCACCAAAAATCGAGGTTGGCGTTTTCGATATTAAAATTTACCGAAACAGCAATTATCGTGAGAAACTATAAATACGAATTCTATAGATATATTTCATACTTCCATAACAATATAAATAAAAAGTTGTATACCGAAGCGAATTTAACGCTTTTATGATTTTTGTGTGTAGCATGAAAATTATGGTTAAAGTATGATATTCATGTTGACAAGGCTTGAGAACTTTAGAGGAACTACAAAGTAACGTTAGAATTTAATTGAATCGATAATAGTATAACGAAGAACTAAATCGAAATGTTATTTATTAAATTGTTTTTACATTTCATGTAGTCTTTTTATTTCAGTAGCTTAAATTTTATTTTTACATTTACATTTTTTACATTTAATTTTATTTCTTATATTTTTAAAAAATATATGTATATATGTATGTACAATGTTTAAACATCATCCGCGAAATTTGTCAACAAGAACTCCACCTCTAGGATGATATAAGAACCAAATAGATTATGACTTGTGGAAAGCCAACAGTAAAGTTGTGGTGCTAGTGGGAGAAAAAGAGCTGGGAAACAAATCTAGTAAAGGGCCTCCTAGAGACAAAGAATTGTGGATTTTTGAAAGAATTTTAAAAAGCCATGAACCGATCGTATTAAGAACGAAATAGTGTTGCAAAGAATGGGAAGAAACATATATCTTTTGACCATCATTAAGGGAAGAAAGATAGTATATTTGGGATAAATAATTAGAAATGGAAAGTACCGATTGTTGCAGCTAGTTACGAAGGGTAAAATTGAAGGAAAAAGGGGTCCTGGTAAACGTCAAATATCCTGGCTAAAAAACATTCATATTGGACTGGGATAAACACACAGATGCTTTCAAAAACAGCAGAAAATAGAGACGTATATGCAATCGTTATAGCTAACCTTCATTAGTAAAGTCGGCACTAGAAGAAGAAGAGACAAAGAACTTAGTGGTGAAACGGTGAAGTGCAAAAGAAAGCAACAAGAAGAGAAGAAAGAGGCTAGAAAGAGGTATGAATAGTCTAAAAGACAAGAAGATAAGGATATACAAACTAACAAAGAGGAACGCAAAGCTCTGTAGCTAAGGGCATAGAATTACTTAGAGGAAAACTAGGAAGAGTTGGTACAGGATACAGGCTGGTTAGTTTAGCTGGAAGCGAATAAGCAGGGACTCTGTGATCGAAAAATCGGAGAAGGGCTAAAAGAAAATATATACAAGAGTGTAATGGGACTTGCGTTGGTATACAGCGGTAAATTGTGGCCTGTGAAGAAGATTCAGGAAACGAAGATGGAGGTGACTAAAATAAAAATGATATAGTGGATGTTGGGTATGTTTGGTACTTGTCGTTTGGCACATATAATATCATTTAGATGTACCAAAAGGCTTGGGAAGAAACCAGTCAGTTGGTGAATTTGGGAAAGAAATATTTAAAAAAGTAATTTACTCCTCTACAGCAATTTATAAAAGAAAATCGACTATAAAAAGGATACTTCAAGCTGTTAAAAATAAAATTTACAGAAAATTTATAGTTTTACAGGAAATATTGATTCTTTTAAAAAATTAGTAAAAAAATTGGATTCTGATGGATAAAAGTAGAAACAAATAGAAAAGAAATTGAATATATTTAGTAACATTAAATAAATATAAGAATCACGTAATATAAGAAAAAAATGTAGGAACTATAATATATTGCGATGAAACCACATCCACCGTTCACATACGATACCAAAGACGTAGGACGATGTTAAAAATAAATGTTTGAAATCTCCAGTATCAAAGGAAATACGTTGCATCATTTTATATGCATATTTTATATGTAGGTATGTCAGGATTTGTACCTGATGCGTTTAACCAAATTTATCCATAATGCGCAAAAAATGTGATTAAGTTATAAATGATGCCTCCTACCACAATGTACAGATGGATCTAAAACCAAATTTTTTATGGAAAAAAGCAGCTATGGCTAACGGAACGAGGTATTTCATATAAAACCTATGCTTTAAAAGTTAAATTGTATGCATTAACTAAAAAGTATAAACCATCTTATAAAAAAATATATTGTTGATACGCTTTTAGCGGCACATGACATTGCGTCTACCACGTTACCAGCCGGAGCTGAACCTTCTTCTTCTTTGCCTTAACCGGTCCGGATGTTGGCGATCATCAAGGCTATCATGGTTTGTTGACTGCTCTGCGAAACAGCTCCGCTGAGGTCATCCCAAACCATTGCCCGAGATTTTTCAACCACGATACGACGGCGTCCCGGTCCTCTTCTGCCAAATACTTTACCCTGCATAACGAGTTAAAGAATTCGATATTTTTCTTCGTTCCGCATCAAGTGGCCGAGGAGCTGAACCCCATTGAAAAAATATGGGCACTAGTATAGTATGAAGTTGCAGTCTGTAATGTCTCATTAAAATAAGTTAATGTACGGCTGCTAACAGAAGAAAAATTTCCAGAAGTAACAATTCAAAATTGATAAAATATTTGCTCCCACGTAGAAAATATTGAAGAAGAATATATGGAAATAGTGAACATTTTCGACTTCACCTCTTCTTCTTCCTTCTTGTATGTAGGCTTTACAGCCTGTTTCTTCAATACTAGCCTCCTAAATTGTTTAAATTGTCGTACCATTTTTTTCGTGGTCTGCCAATACTTCTTCGTCCATTTAGTGACTTATCTTGTGCTATTCGTACTATTCTATCCTCTGCCATTCTATTGATGTATTCGTTCCACTTCTGGTTTCGTTTTTTCACCCATCCATTTACGTCTTATTGCATGCTCTTCTTATGTTTTCGCTTCTCTCCCTATCCAACAGACTTTTCCCTGATATTCGTAGGAGTATTTTCAATTCTGTTGTTTCTAGTAGTCGTCTCATTTTAGATATGTCGGGTCTTGACTCCGCCGTGTATGTTCATATAGGTCTAATTGCTGCTTTATAACTTCTTGTTTTTGTGTCTTGTCTTAGCTGTTTGTTCTTCCAGATTGTGTCATTAAGAGATCCCTATGCTTTACTTCCTATTAAGCTTTGTTTTCGTACTTCTTCAAGATCTCCGTAACTAGTTATAACTCTTCCCAGATATCTAAACCTTGCTTCCTGCTTTATTCTTTTCCTATTAATTTCGATTTTACACCGTAGTGGGTTATTTAGATATTATCATG